ATATAGCGGCAATATGATATTTGCTGTTTTATTATCTATCCCTTTTCTAATGATTCCCAATATTCTGTTCGCTTTTTTGACTGCCGCTGCACATTGAGCAGAGGTTTTCAGAGAACTATCCACAATGACCTCAAGATCTTTCTTGATGGGTAACAGCTAATTTAGACCCCATCATTTTGCATGTATAGTTGGGTTTATATTTTGCCATGTGCATTCCTTTGCATTTAGCAACATTGAATTTCATTTGCCATTGTGTAGCTAAATCACCCAGATTTGTGAGATCCCTTTGTAGCTCTTCACAGTCTGTTCTGGACTTAACTATTTTAAGTAGTTTTGTATCATCTGCAAATTTTGCCTCCTCACTGTTTACCCCTTTGTCCAGATCATTTATGAATATGTTGAAGTTGAACAGCACTGGTTCCAATACAGGCCCGTGGGGGACACCACTATTCCATTCATACCACTTATTCCTATCTTTTAACTGGAGTGCCTGGCAATGCTTTCAGGATCATGTAAGGATCCTTAATTTAATTTAATTTAATGACAAGCCTTTCCTTATCTTAATCACCCTGCCTCTGTTTATAAACAAACTCCCTGCCCCAAGGGTGGAAGCTGGGAGCAGCACAGAACTCATCACATATCACACTCAAGCTGTGTTGCAGTTAGGAGCTCCATCTGGGGCTATGGCGTGTGCTGTGAGCAGACTTCAGGTACGAAACTCGGGGGAGGGAGAATAGAGCCCCCCCCCCATACCTTCTAAGTGGTGCTCCTGCCCCCAGGGAGTCTGTGCCACAGCGCCTGGATGTGCTGGAATCCACCGTCCGCGGGTGGGGGTGGGTGGCAGGCTGCCGGCCCTGAACAATGGTCCCTTTGAGCCTGGAGCCCGAGAGCCAGCACAAAGCACTCTGTGCCTGCAGAATAGGCCATTCTAGTGTGCCCAGGTGCCAGCCAGCTGGGCACAGAGCGCCAGGGCACAGTGGGCCAGCACATGGTGTGGGGGGCTCTGGATGCTGACCCCCATTCCGATCTTCCCTCCCCACCCTCTAGTGCCCCCCATTACCACCCTATGGGCACCCCATTCTCACCCCTAGGCATCCTCCCCCACCTCCACTCCCATCCCATGGGTCCCCCACCCCTTCCCTTCTACCCTCGCCCCCCACTGCATCCCCTGGACCAACCCCTCTCCCTTCCCCCTCCTCACTGCCTCCCACTGGCCACCCACTTCTTCCCTTCCACCCGCATCTCCCCACTTCCCCATGAGCCTCCTTCTCAGCCCCTTCCATCCCACACCCACCTCCACTCCTCATGGCCCCCCCCAGCTCCTCCTTCCCCATGGGCCACCCGCCCTCCCTCACTGCTCCCCCTTGGCTGCCTGCCCCTTCCCCCGATTCCATGCAGGTTCACTCCCACTGCCTGCGGCACCAAGGGACCCACTGAGCCACATACACCACCTTAGTCACTGCATGGCACCACTGAGCCTTGTACACCACCTTGGGCACCACATGGCACCAAGGGCATGTCCCCAGGGCTCAGAGCTGCTCTCCCCCACAGGATAGTGGCTGGGGCTCTCAGAGGATCCCCCATAACCCCGTCTGGCCAGGACCCCTGTAGAAAGGGGCCCTGCCATGGGCCAATCCCTTGTTACCAGCTGCTAAGCCACCCCCATGGGCCCTGAGCAGGGCATGGGTCACAGTCTGGGTGCTCTGTGGGGGGAGGGGCTGGGGCACCAGCAGGCAGGGCCCTGGGCAGGGACAGGTTCATGGCTCAAACACAGCACAGGCCACGATGCCCTGCATCCCCCAGCCTGCCCTAAATCAGATAGCATTCGCCCCGGGCAGTGCCTGCCCCCAATGCACAGGCCTCCACGGTGGGGCAGGGACTTGTCATGCCCCATCCTGCCCCACCTAGCTCCCCCCTGGCCTCTGCTCCTCCCCCACTCCCATAACCCTCCACAGCCTCTATAGAGGGAAGTGTCAGGCAATCTGAATGAATGCCTGTCCTGAAGCGTGGTCTGGGGCCAATGGCGTCCCCGGCATTAAGGTTGTCAGACACTTCCCATGATAAGATCCTGTTTTCATGTGCTTCTGACTTTGCCATGCTGTAACTGGTCAGGGCAGACCCTCCCAGACCCGGCGTCTCCCTCTGGCGGAGTTTGGGGGGAAGGTTTCAAGAGAAGGGGAAAAATACATTGTTTTGCCACGTTAAAAAAACCTGTACACCTGCTTTATTGAGCTCTAGCGCTGCCGTGCTCTAAAGCAGGGACTGGACATTTGGCCCTGGAATCAGGGATGTGCCTTTTGCTGTTCTCACAAAAATTCACCCAAATATGTCCAAGTTACAGCCCTCCGAATAGCTCAGTTTGCACCTGCTCAGCAGCAACTTGTTAGCGTTGGGCTGCCAAACTCTCCAAAGATTCTGCCTTCAGTGAGCATGCTCCAGCCCCTCAGTGCCTAGAGCACCCACAGAGCAACTAAGCATGCTCTAGCTCTGAGCAGGACCCCTGGGGCAGGCTTTCAGAAGTGCTGTCCCATGGTGTTCCTTGGAGCAGGTTTCTCCATTGGGCTCAGCAGTAGATAAGGGTGAAGCCCCCCTCTGTAAGTCTGCCCGCCCCCTCTAGCAGTGCAGATTCACTGGGTGACCTTGGGCAGTCACTTAAAGGTGACCTGCAAAGGGAAAACATCTGTTTGCCTTGCTTCGCATAGGGAAAGCCTGAACCTTTGTTTGTTTGTTTGTTAAACATAAGGGTGTGTGTCTACCTTTTTCACACTAGAAATTCAGGTCTTGGCTATTGTGATTTTCTGGGATGACTGGAGAGCTGGGCGGGCTGGGACAGCACAGACACAAGGTGCACAGGGAATCTGTCATGGGGCAGGGGGGAATCCATCTTGCTGTTAAAAATATGCATCTTATTTCCAGTTTGATTTTTTCTACGATGGGTCTCAGTCTCTGGTGCAAGAGCCTTCTCCTCTGCAACCCCTGCCTCCTGGAGCAGCATTGCTGTACCTCTCCTCCTCACCTGGGGCACAGCCCCCAGGGGGAACACCCCTGGGACAAGATGGTGGTGGTGGTTGTTGGGTGCGTGGGGGGAGGGAGGGAAGAGATATTCCAGGACAAGCTGGGGCAGTGGCTGTGACTCTTCCCCCTGCTGCTATTCTGTTCTACCCAGCTGCATTGGCCAGGCTCTTGGGCCCTGTACCCCCCAGGGCCGCCCAGAGGGGGGGCAAGTGGGGCAATTTGCCCCAGGCCCCACAAGAATATAGTATTCTATAGTATTGCAACTTTTTTTTTAATCCAAGGGCCCCCCGAAATTGCTTTGCCCCGGGCCCCCTGAATCCTCTGGGCAGCCCTGGTACCCCCAGCAGCCCTTGGCTAGGAACCAACCCCCCCTAACCCCAGTAACAGAGTGACAGTCTCGTGGGCAGGGACTCAGGATACGTGGGTTCTAGTTGCTGTCCTGCTCGGTAACTGTGGCAGGTCCCCCACTCCTTTGCCTCAGTTTCCCCACCGTGCCTGCGTGGATTGTGGCAGGCCAGGGAGGGCCTCCCTCTGGCACAGCGGGGCTCCGTTCCCTCGTTCCCAGGCCAAAGGGCCCCGGCAGAGGAGCGCGCTCCTGGCCGGCCTGGCTTGCTGTGGGCGCGGCGGCGCAGCTGCGCGGTAATCACTAGCCGCCGGCGGGCGGGCTGGGGTGGGGCCGGGGCTGCTCTCCGCCTCCGCCGCCCTCCCTGCAGCCTGCGAGAGTCCGCGCTGCACTTCCCGCGGGGCTGGGGCTGGCCACGGCGGGGAGCGGGGACCGCCGAGCTGTCACGGGGAGCTGGTGAGTGGCGGGGCCGCTCCCGCTCCGGAGCGCAGGGGCTGCGGGGTCTCAGCTGTGCCCAGCAGGGTTC